CGGCCTGCTGCCGGCCCGGCTGCGGGCAGGGGTGGTCCCCGGGCAGGGAGGATGCTCTCGGGGCAGGGATGTTCTCCGGGCAGAAATGGTCCCCAGGCAGAGATGATGCTCTCCGGGCAGGGATGGTCTTCAGACAGGGATGATGGTCCCCGGGCAGAGATGATGCTTTCCGGGCAGGAATGGTCCTCAGGCAGGGATGCTCTCTGGGCAGGAATGATGCTCTCCAGGCAGGGATGATGCTCTCTGGTCAGGGATGGTCCTCAGGCAGGGATGATGCTCTCCAGGCAGGGATGCTCTCCAGGCAGGGATGTTCTTGGGCAGGGATGATGCTCTCCAGGCAGGAATGGTCCCCAGGCAGAGATGATGCTCTCTGGGCAGGGATGCTCTCCAGGCAGGAGCCACCTCTGCACCACGAGCTCTGCCTGCTAGGAGTGCCGGCACTTTGGAAGAGGAGATCACCCTGATCCTGGTGGCCTGGGTCTATGTTGTCCCCAGGCTTCTTGTCACCTGGTAGCAGAAGCTTTTCTATGAAGCAGCTTTTCTGTGTCTGGCCGTTCCCCTCCCTGTGGCCACCGGCCCCGGCTGCCCGTCCCAGGAGCTCTGCCCACATGAAATCCCTCTGGCACACCAGAGGCCCTGGTGCCATCAGCCACTTCTCCTCCTTGCCAGGAGATCTGGGACATGACCATGCTTCGTGCCTCTGTGTCCTTCTGGGACTGGCATGGCCTGGACAGACAGAGAGGGCCAAATTTCTGTCTGTCACAACAATATAAAGATGAAAGGTTTTTTAGAGACGTTGAAGGCTGGAGCTTCCCCAGTGTCTGTCTTGCGCTTGCAGCCTCCTGGTTCTGCTCTGCTGCAGGATCAAGGGAGAAAACCCTCAAACATGCAGCGAAGTTTGGGGATGCTGCAAGAGCGGGGGCTCCTCGGGAGCAGCGGGTGCGCGTCTGTGTGCTGCTGAGCTCTACAGAAATGGCCGTGTCTGCTCCTCTCCCGCCCTGGTTGCGAAAGGGAGAGATTTCAAGTTTAAACGACAGCTTTCCATCCCCAGGTCGTGTTCTCCCAGCAACCAAGAGAACTGAAGCGAAAATTGAGCAGG